TTATGAATGCTTCACTGAGTGTAGATAAGTGAGCAATCTTATATTATACTTCACACACTTCAGTTTATACTATCTTGCATTGAATGAAGAGCTTTCAACATCTTTCTATTTACAGATCTTCATTCATGATCTTACACCTGAGTTGAGAGTGGAATGAAAATGCTTAACCTTGTAATCAGACATGATGAAAGAAGCATACAACATTCTCATTGTATGAGAATAAGTGAGTCAATTGTGACAGAAAATACTGTAATTGAGTATGTCTCAGCAGAGAATGAGTAATCAGACTTCTATGATACAAGTCACACATCTGAATGTGATGAATCTAGATCTGAATGTCATCACTAAAGCACTGAATCTCTTGAAAAAGGGATTCTCTGAGTGGAAATCTTGATATTGTGAGCATTGAGCTTGCTTCAACTGTAAATGTCAAAATCATGATACAAAAGATTGCACTCAGTGTGTACAGTCAAGAGAAGCAAGAGAGTTAAAAAACTAGCAGAATCAGTGAGCTCAGAGACACTCACTGATATTCTATGAAAAGTCTTCAAAGTGAAAGAGATGCCTGTGTTAGATGACTCTCTGAATTCTGTGAATGTAAAGAAGAAGCAGGCTTCTGAATAAGATATGAGTGAGAATGATGAAGTGAACACTCATCTCAATGTCTTAAGACCTGAAATGTTAATGTATAGAAAGCACTTAAATAAGAATTGAGAGATGACTGTAAAAGTGTTAGCAGACACAGAAGCTTCTATACAATATATTGATAATTATATAATCTGAAGATTGAAAGAGGTCTGCTGAGTGAAGAATCTCTGATATATAAGATTATCTGATAACTGATATTTGATATCACCTGCAAGAGTAAGAGTTCTCTTGCACTTTGAAGAATGATCTTGCTATATTTGGGCATGAGAGCTGCAGAATGTGAAATATAATCTTATTCTTAAACTTGATTGATTTCAAAGGTTCAATCTGCAGATTCAATGATGTACATGTCATATGCAGTTGACTGATAGGAAGAAAATGGTTTATATGATTCTATCAACTGATATGAGAAGGACATTCCATGTCTCTGATATAGAAGAATTAAATCTGCTTATACATTAACAAGCAAAGAGAACAATTTGCAAGATCTCATCTGAAAGCATTCTGTATGTCATACAGGACCTGAAAGCAGAGAAAACCAAGATAAAGAATATGTAGAAGGACAAGTGTATGAAGAAGCTTCTGAAGAAGCATAGAAAGGTCTTCTGAACAGATCTTTCACTGAAATTGCTGCTGAAATGAGAATTTGTACATGAGATTGACACAGGGGACATAAAATCAGTCAATCAGAATGTGTATCCTCTGTCACAAATACATCTTGAAGAACAGAAGCATCAGATCACTGACCTTCTAGAATGTAGTCTCATACAATTCTCATCAAGCACATGGGGCTTTCCAGTTCTATTTATAAAAAAGGCAGGTGAAGAGTGATGAATGTGTATTGATTATTGAGCACTCAACAAGCTTATAATCAAGAATGAATATTCACTGTCATGGATTCAACAACAGTTGAATACAGTCAGAAACACTTGATATCTATCAAAGATTAATCTTCTCTCAGAATACTGACAGATCTGTATAGATGAACTATCAGTTCTGTGAATCATGTTTAATATACAATGAGAGAAGTTTGAATTCCTAGTAATACTATTCAGTCTGACAAATGCATCTGTTATCTTTCAAATAATAATGAATATGATTCTTCATAAACAGAATGAAACCTCATGCCTTGTATATCTTGATGACATTCTAGTCTTTTCAAACTCATATGATGAATATCTGAAGCATCTCAATGAAGTGCTTACAACTCTGACAGAGTATAAGCTCTATATCAAATCAATCAAGTGTGTGTTTGAAATGAAAGAGTTGAAGTTCATGAGACATGTAGTGAGTGATGACTGTATATGCCTCATTCTGAAGAAATTGAATGTCATAGTGAATTGACCGTGGCTGAGAAATGTACATCATGTATAACAGTTTCTTGAGTTGATCTCATATTATTGCAGATTCATCAAGGATTTTGCATGAATATCTGTATCACTCTCAGATCTCTTAAGAGAAATGAATGCAAATCTGTGAAAGAAGAAGTTTTGTTCAATTATCTGAAATGCTGTGTGTGAAGAGGCTTTTCTCACACTGAGAGAATATGTAATAACATTCTCAGTGCTTATTCAATCAGATTGTAATAAATCTTTCTATATCAAGACAGATGCATCTGAATGAGCTATCAGAGGCACTCTTCTACAGATGGGCAAGAATGACAAGCTGCATCTGATAATATACAATGATAGGAAACTATCAGATGCTGAGCTCAATTACTCAGTGTATGAAAAGAAATTGCTAGTAATCAAGCACATGCTGGCATTGTGAGATAGATATATTGACAACAGGCATATAACAACAGTGATCACAGATCATGAAAGTCTCATCTATCTACAATCAATGATAAAACCTTTCAAATGCTTAGCATGTTGAATCTCAGAGTTTCAAGTATACAATCTTCATATTAAATACTGAAAAGAATTGAATGCAGTGATGTCTGATACAATCAGTTACAGATCTAATTTCATAAGTGAGAGTTCTATGAACCAGGTATAAGAGATATTCACATTAAACATGCTGAGAAGATGCAAGAAATCAGAATGAGTGAATGTCATGATCTCTTGCTTAAAGAATGATAAGATGTCAGATGACAAGTATCTTGTGAAAGTAGTAGAAGAGATACTTCTGAACTTCAAGCTGAGAAAATTGAAAAATGACATTGTGCTTTATCACAATCTAGAATATGCAGAAGCTCTCTATCTAGAATCTTCATTTCAACATAACTTGATAGCTCACATGCACAAGGAATTCAGTCACTTAGAAAGCTCTGAACTCATGAGTATACTTGAATCAAGAGTGTACTGGTCAAGCATGGTCAAGAACATTCAGACATATGCTCATGAGTGCCCGAATTATCAGGTTGTGAAAGAATTGAAGAAAGGATTAGAATGCAAGAAAGTGCAACATCAGATGAAGTGTATGATACAACTGTTTGAATAATGAGAGATGAATCTCATAGACATATTGCCACAAACATCAAATGAAAATTGATGAATAATCACTGCTATTAATTACACTACTGACTGGTCAGTTGTGAAAGCAGTTTCAGAGATGATAGAGAAGGTGATGACAAAGTTTCTACATGATGAGATCTATGTCAACTATGAAATGCTGTATGAGATTCTAACTGATAATGATGTGAACCTTGTAGAAGAAGCAGTGAGGCATTTCATGGGCCAGTTACAGACAAGACATTGTAGAACAACATCATATCATCCGCGGATAAACAGGAAGATGAAATGCTTGAATGAAATCTTGAGCAACATGCTGATGAAATATTTAGTGAGTAAGCCTATGAGACTATAGAATGAATATCTCAGACAGATGCTATTGATTATGTGAATTTGACAGTATACAGTCTTCAAGTGTTCATCATTCTATCTGTTGTATGAATTGCATCCGCGCATCTCAGAGAATGCTTTGAAAAAGGTGGGGAAGGAAGCAGTTGCAGATGCAGCAGGAACAGCAGTTGCAGATGCAATAGTCGCGGACACAGAATCAAGATTGAAAGAGATCAGCCATGCACATGCAAAAGCTAACAAGTTACTTCTGAACTGAGCAATTCAATTGAAAAGAATATGAGACTCACTTGTTAAGGAATCAAGTCTCAAGATGAGAATGTGAGTTCTCATATGCAATGAGAGTTCTGAGAAGTTTCAACCTAGATGATTTGAGTCATATAAAATACTCAAATCACATTCTCTGAGAATGTACACATTGAAAGAATCAGAGGAATAGATCTTATACAACTTAATCAATAATTCACAACTTGTGAAAGTAAGAATGCAAGATCTGAGTGAATTATGATTATTCACAGCACTATCATCAGTGTTGAAAAAGAAGAGACTTATAATTGAAAAGCCTCATGAAGTAAGAGAAATCATAGATGCTTACAAATCAGATGATCTCACTTATTCTGATCTTTTCACAATTATAAGAAAAGAATGAAAAGAAATGAAGAAATCAGATAAATATCACACTTCAATAAGTGATGAGACTGTAGTCAGTCATATGATAACATGCTGCAGACAGTGAGTGCAACATAGCAAAGAGCAGTCTCAAAGTGACAGACTTGCATGTGAGTCAGATTACAGAAGAAAAAGAAATTCAGAGTTGAATTCAACTGTTTATATCAGTTCAATTATGAAGATCATAGAGGATGAACTATCTGAAACATCTGTGAACATGTGAAACCAAGTCATCTCAACTTCTGAAAATGCTCAGAGATCGGGTGAGATTAGTTTCAATGAGCTGTTCACTGTAGTGATCTAAGTGAGTGAAGAGAGATAGTATAATGTATGAGACAGAATCACAAAGATGAAAGCTGCTGAACCTAGTCACTGAACACTGTATTATATAGAGATTGTGTAAGAGTAGTGACTAGCAGATAAAGAAAAAGCATAAGAAAAAGAAAAGAGATAATGAATTGATCATCAATCATAAGAATCAGCTGTAAAAAGACAAATGTTATCATACACATCTCATTCATTTTCATACATCACATATTTAATCTATTTCCAACACCATGCCATCTGAAAAATGCTAAAAACAAAGGAAATCTCAAAACTTGAGATCTGCAAGGAATTTAAGAGTTACAAGCTGCTCTTATAATAATGCTGTGCATGCCTCTGATTCCTCTATCACTCTGTGTATGACATTAATGTCATTTATTGCAATATTGACTGGAATGCCAATATAGAAATACACATGTATATGTGTAGAGAAATTGAAGAAGAGTGCAGAACCTGCAGGATCAGAAGCTGAGACAGAGAGGATGAAGATGAAAGAAACAGAAGAAGAAGAAGACACAGAACCAGATGAATAACAGTAGAAGTCACTCAGGGCTGAACACTTACAACCTGATGTGTGCACAATCTTCTCTGCAGAGAAGAGAGAGAAAGTGATAGAAGAAGCTTGAGAGTGAGAGAAGATAGTCTCAGCAGTGTTGTCATCTTTGATGAGAATGATCTCTGACACTGAAGTAACTAAGAATTATTGTTAGTGTATGAAAATTGCAAAATCAGGGATGAGAACAGTTACTGAACAAACATCTGCTGATCTTAGAGTTGTATGCATAATTACAACACACATGAGGCTTCTCAGAAAGAGAGAGAGAGACACAGAGAAATGCAGGAAGTAGAATGCAGTGTGTGAACAGCTCATTCTCATGATGACATCTCAGACAAGGTGTATAAGCCTCACACTCACAGATGTAAAAGAGTATAACATCTGCATTTCTGTTTCTGAAAACATGAATATCTTTTGTCTGCACCATGAAGTCAGACAACAGATATCAGAGAATAGGCTGATACAGATCTATCATTTCAAAGAAATTCATCAGAGTGAATGTTCTCATAATATTGAACTTTACAGTTGTAAAAAGCTTCTTGATATCTGTGAATATCATGACTTCATGCACAGCAAAACTCATAATGATTTTCTCTAAGAACAGAAAAATCAGCATCAGATTAAAAAGATGAAAAGAAAAAGACTTATAATCTTGATACTGTTGAGAAAGAGAATAATTCTCTGATATGAATGAACAATTGTCTCATCATGAATATTTAAAATGAATGTAATAATCAGTGTTTATGACTGAGCTTCAGATAGTTATATCATACACTGTCTTTGTACAATAAATTGTTCTGAGAGTCAGTAAGAAGGGCAGGAGTGTACATACTGAGAGATGTAGTTCATTAAGTCTACACAATATCTTCTTGAAATGAGGAGAGTTAGTAATGAAAGCAGAGACAGCAAAATCAGGGGTCGCGGGAACAGGGATAGCGGGAGCAGGAGAACCAGACATAGGAACAAGTGTAGAAGATTGAGGAGTAGCAGAGAAAGAGACAGAGAGAGGAGCAGCAGAGAAAGAAGTGACAGAAGAGGCAAGAGAGAACACAGAAGACTCAGCCACACATGATATGAGTAATTCCTTCATTATCATGTTCTTCAAGTTCTCAATCAAGAATGTAACATCAGATTCACTATCATCAGCAGATATGAATCTGTCAATGTGTGAAGATTCTATGTGAATAAAAACAAACATATCAGCATCTGTGTTCACACAAAATCATGCCAGAAAACATGATCAGAAACCTGCTGAGAAGAGAAACAGTCAAGAGTGTATAAGAAAGTGAAGAGAGTGTATGAGAAGGTGGAGAAGATGTGTCATTTATAGTAGTACATTCTGACAAATTGTTAGAAGATAAACAAGTCCTGGTCATGTACATTTCACAACGCGTTATACTTACTGCTAATGAACTGCCTGGTATGAGCACTACAATGATGCTTGTTATGAGAATGAGGGGCCATTGTCAGAAACATGTATAATGTGATAGATGAACAGATGAAAAGAGTTGAATAGAAGAAGAAGCAGGAATCTTGAATGAAATAGTGATGTTCAATGATGATGATGATGAAGAAGATGATTGAAGAATGAGAAAAGTTAGTGAATGAGTGATGTAATATAGTGGAAGTTTCTTTGTGAGAGTGTACACAGAACACTAGCTGAATCAGGAATAGATCACATGATTGTGAAACACTAGTGGCGAGCTAATCCGCATGAAGCTAGGGCATATGATATGATCATGTGAGCGTGACTGAATCTGGTGAGAGAGAATGTGGTTCAGAAGAATGTATGACTGTTGAATAATAACATGACTGCTTCTGAACTACTAGTGTATGTGTATGAATGTAAAGGGGCCCTAGCGGCCGCTAATTAATTTAGCGTATGAGATTCAATATATAAGAAGCCGGCGTATGCCTGTAATCGTACGCTGGCTTAAGCAACCTTTGAATCACAAAAAGAGCTAAAACAGACTGCTGGAATAAATTTCTTGAAGAAGCACAAGAGAAGAAAGTTTTTAAAGCTTTTAACTATACTAAAACAAGAAGTGTAGCAAAACTTCCAGCTCTAGAATGTGATTTTCAGAATGAATTATATACAGCAAACTCTTTTGAGGAAAAATGTCAAGCTTTCATGAGAATTCTCTTTCAGAACTCACCAGATTCAGATTCAGATTCAGAGGAAGAGAATATATCACTTCTCAACTACATTGATGAAAATGACTGGGAATGGCCTGATCTTACACAAGATGAATTAGAGTCAGCTATCTTCTCAAGTTCTGTTAAAACTGCTGCAGGTCCTGATTCAATTAATCACTTAATTATTCAAAATACATATTCCTACTTAAAGAATGAATATTTTGAGCTCTTTTTCAATCTCTTGAAAAATGGATATTATTCTGAATGCTGAAGAGAAGCCACTGAAGTGATTCTTACAAAACCTAATAGAAAAACTTCAATTTCTAAGTCATATAGAGTAATATCTCTATTGAACTGCCTAGAAAAGGTTTTAAAAAAGATAATAGCTACTTGACTATCTTTTATAAGCTCTATAGATGATTCTCTTTTATTCAGTGAATAAATGAGAGATAGAAAACAGTGTTCTGCAATTAACACTGTTCTCACAGTTGTTCATGATATTCAAATAGTAAAGTATGAGGGTCTGGTCTCAACTGCAGTTTTTATTGATATAAAAGAAGCATTTGATCATGTTTCAAAGTCAAAGTTAATTCAGACATTGAAGATATTAAAACTGTCACTTTCTCTAATAAAATGAGTTAACTGTTTTATATCTAAAAGAATTATACAACTCTTCTTTGATGAAATGAAACAAGATAAGACTGAGATAAAAATAGAAGTATCACAGAGGTCTTCAATCTCACTCATTTTATTTGCAATATACACTGCATATCTATTCAAAAATAGAAATATGAGAATAGTGTGATCTCTGAGTTATATGAATGATATTGGCCTAGTCTACAGCTCAAAAACTATCAAAGAGAATTTGAAAGTAATTGAAGAAGCTGTAAAGAAAATCTTTGTTAGAGTAGATATCAATCAAATTCAATTTAATATGAATAAAACTGAGTTAATTCATTTCTTTCCTAGATTCAATGAGAAAGAACTATCTCTAACTCTTTTAAATAGAGAGATTAAACCCAGTGTAAATATCAAATGATTAGAAGTATGATTAAACTCCAAGTTGAATTTTAAATATCATATTCAACAAAGAACTGTCAAGACAGAAAGACTATTGAATAACATAATCAGACTATTAAATACAGAGAGAGGTCTATCCTTCCAGGCTATGAGATAGTTATATATAGCCTGTATTACATCAGTAGCTGATTATGAAGTTCAAGTTTGATGAAATAATCAAGGGAATTTCACTGAACTCTTTCAAAGTCTGCAAAACAGAGCCTTGAGAAGAATTCTGAGAGCATTTAAATCATCTTCTATTAAAGTAATGGAAATTGAAGCTTCAATTCCTCCTTCTGCTATTAAATTTGAAAAGGCCTGTATGAACTATGCTCTGAGAGTTGTAAAGATGAGCTCAAATCATATAATCAGAGAAAGAGTCTCTTCTTCATTTCCATTAATTAACTCTGGAAATGAACTGGATTGGAATAGATTTCTTGATTGAAATGAAAATAATTCTTCAAAGAAAATGTCTTCTCAACTGTACAGACTATGCTCTCTGATTAAAAATCAATTTTCTTCTTTAAATGTTGAAAAAGTTAATCATGAGAAGTTATCTCTCTGGAGAAAAAAGCTTGAATCTTCTATAGACTTATAAATAAGTGAACTATCAAAAGAGAAAGAATATGAACAGTATTTGAAGAGAATTTCTACAATCAATATAAAAGACTCTATTCTGATTTATTCAGATGACTCAAAAAATGAGAACTTGAATAGATTAGGCGCAGGCATTGCTTATACTGAAGATAATATTAATTTTATCTCAGATTTCTGAAATCTAGGCTCTGAATATGAAGTCTTTGATGCTGAACTATTTATAATAGTGAAAGCTTTCAAACTCATTGAAATAAAATCTCATCAAAGAGGAAATTGTTTGAAAGAGATATAAATATTCTCTGATAGTCAAGCTGCTTTAAAAAGACTTAGAAATAGTCAGATTCATAATAGTCAAATGAATCTTGAACTGATCTTAAACTCTGTTTTAAAAATTCAAAAGAGAAGAATATCAAAGCTGAGAATTCATCTGCACTAGGTTCCTGCTCATATGAATATTCATGACAATGAATTGGCTGATTCAGCTGCAAAAAAGGGTGCAGAATTAAGCAGATCTATTCAAAAAATTGTGTCCTGGTCTTTTATAAAGAGAAAAATAAAAGAATCTTGTTCAGACAAGTGAAATGAAAGCTGGCAGAAATAAAAGAAGAGTATACATTATTCAAGATTTGAAATAAAACCCAAGTGAAAATCTTGTTCAATTAAATGTAAAAAGAAAATATTCTCATCTATAATACAGCTGAAACTAGAACATGGCTATTTCAAATCTTATATACAAAGATTTGATGATAGATTTGACTGAATAGAATGCTCATTCTGCAATACAAATGAGAATTCTGAGTATATTATAATGCACTGTGCATTATACAATAGTCTCAGAGCCAGATTGAAAGAGAAGTATGATCTAAATCAATTAAATATGAGATTCTTATTCTCAACTGAGACAGGAATTAAATACTTAATAGACTTTCTATCAGAAACTCAAGCAGCTACAAGAAAATGGCTAAATTCAGAATTATCTGAATATGAAGAGGAGAAAATCAATCAGATATAGTCTGTTAAAACAGCTATACACTCTCTTTTAATAATTTGTTTTGTTATAGTCTCTCTTTACTTTTTCTTTTTCTGTATCTTTTCCTTTCAATTTCTTTCTATCTATTTACTTAATATGTCTATCTTTGAGACTGTGTTCTTTCTCTCTTTTCTTTTGTCATGATATTGTCAAATGATTTCAAAGTATCAAAAGATGTTAAAACACTGCAATTTGTAAACAGTTTTTGTATTCTGGGCTGGAATTTTCTGATTTTGCATATCTGAAATTGATGAATGTACAATAGTTAACTTTACAGATATAGAAAAAACCCTGAGAACTAAAGTTCTCAGGTAGATGTCATAGTCTCTGACTGCATACATCTATAATTGAAGAAGAATAATAATAATAATAACTCTCTCAGTTATACTGAAGTATTCAGCTCAGAAATAATTGAGATATGAAGAGAGAACTTATCTATTCAGATTAACTTTCATCACAAATTCATAGTATTCACATTGTCTTAATTATCTGAATTTTACAGGTATCTGAGAATTCATCTCTCATTGATAATAAGATTGTGAAAATGCATCACAGTATAAGAATCATTGATAAAGAATCTAGACATATTTACATATATCTGATCAGAGATTGTATGAGTAGAGAGAGAGTGATTATAGACTCACAGAACTGTAGAAGACACTGATAATATCAGAAGCTTTACAAGAACTGTTAGCTAGAGTCTGTAAGAAATTACTTATAAGAAGACTTATAGTAAAGAGAGAAACTGCACTACTTAAAGTCAGAAACTGATCTGAGAGAGATATGAAATTAACTACTGATCTGAAGATCAGATACAGTGATGAGACTGAGAAGAATAAAGATGTAATTGTGAGTGATAATGTCTCTGCTTCATCAGCTAGTAAAAAGTAATCAGAGAAGTTACAGAGATACTTATAAAAAGCTTAGTAATAGTCAGATATTGTTTATAAAGATATTGAAATTGAAAGAATTTTTATTCTTGAGAAGTTCTTGAATTAATATATGAATATTATTAGAAACACTCTCTCTCTATCATCTAAGTGAAAATACTTTATAAATGAATGAGAATACTTACAGTTTATAAAAATAAGAGCTGTTACAGAAAAAGAGAAAAGAAGATGAGATTTCATAGACAGATCTGAAGTATTTATACTACTTTAGAGAGATTTACTTACACTGTAAGTAATCTTATAAAACAGTCAGATCACTCTAGTAAATAAGAGTGATTATGAATTACAGATCTGAATCTTTCTATATGACTATAAAAAGTGATTACAGATTATAAATATCTTGATTCTATAATTTTATAGAGTTAATGAAAGAATGAAAAATTCCTCACAATTCTACAGTATTA